GAATTGTGGAATATTATATATTTTGTTTTATGAGGTTATTCAATAAATTTAAAGGACAAATGAATCAAGTAGGTACCCTAGGACCTATAGGTTCCCCATCACCGTATATGGTAGATTGCATAACATGTAGGTACCTATTAAATAGGTAAGTAGTTTAATAGTTTAAATATATTTTTTGTGTTTATACTCATTCAGAACTCTATTGCAACGAGTACCTATATAATATGTATACAAGTGAAAAAGATTTGCATCTAATTTATGATCTTCAGTCTCGTTAGTAATTAAATAAAAAATAGTTGCTAATACTATGTCTTGGCGTGTAAATTGATAATTTATAACCTACTTAGTATTTATTTTTTTTTACATCGGACAATTTGTAAGCAGCTGTATAGTAAAACTATACCATATGAGTATATGACGTGTCATAATAATATAATAAATGTTGCCTGGTTAAATCAAAATTGCATACATTTAACGGACCCGATTAAACACTAATGGACTGATTCCTGGTCACTAATTGATGTCTAAAAGGGTCTGTTAAATATTTAAGGATCCGACGATCCGTGTTGAAGTCTATGTAACGGAAGTCTGTGAAACCCAGTAAAACATAAGTGTTTTTGTTGTATATTATATAATTATAAATGAACGTCGTCAGAACAACGTCACACGCACAGCCGTTCGTTTGCAGACGATTATTATTATATTATTATATTATACGAACATTTTACATCGATGTATATATTTTTTACCACTCGTGTGTCGGTAGACCAAGAATGTCTGACTTTATCTGAAATAAGCATATTATAATAGAGTATACGGCGTTGATGTTTCTTTGATTTAAGCCCTCCGAGCCATGTGTAACTTTGTCACAAGCCCAAAACTAATAAAATGTATTCGCTCAAATATATATATATATATATATGTAGGCATATATATTTAAAAGCCAGTCCGACACTGACAAACCGTTCATATAGATATATAAATTGAATAGCTTAACCACAAATAGAAATCTAAAATTTTTAAAGAAAAACATTTTCTTTTTTAATTTACCATGTTGTAACATATACTTTGGAAGTAATAATAATAGTTTAAAAAATACGTCTTGTTGTGCACAAAAATAATATTACGAAACGTTATACTTGCCATTTATTTCTCAAAAACCGTTTTAAAAGCGATGTATGTATCTGGAGTATAATACTAACAAACGTTTGAAAATCATATTATGTAGGTGTAATAGTATTATGGTATTATGATATTATGTAAAGACCGTTGATATAAAAATATATAACATGTATTACAATTTACAATAGTCAATAGGCCAAATAAATATACATAGGTACCCTGCATTGCTAAAACTACCGTAGGTGTTTGTCGTTAAGGGTGCAACATACCCCCAATTAGGACCCATTATGTGAAGCAGGTAAATTCAACTTTAAATTGAGTAGTATAAAATTATGATTTAATCTATTGGCATAGTGTACCTATGGTCCAACTATAAAGTATTATCGATAACACATACCAAACTGATTATTAAAAATAATATTCTAAATGGGCCACATAAAAATATGCTCGCACAGTCCCACTTGCACTTCCGCTGTCGATAAATACCTAATTAACCGCGGTTATGCATGTACTTTCTACTATAAAAATATAATATAACTCTAAAGTACGAAAAGGAAAATAACAGTTGTTGGAGTTGGTGCATTACTTATTAGTTTTTTTTTCGTTTAAAGGAATGTAATAGTAACTATTAATCGTACTTTTTTGTTTCGGTTGTATATAGCGTTTAGCAAGAGCGACACAACAGTTTAAAAATAGCTATCTCTCACAAACCTTTATATACTTTCCAACTAATAAAGTATCCAAGTATCCTAAGTTAAAACAAATAAGATTCGTTCTAAATTTAAAAATGTTTACACATCGTGCTATAATATAATTATAACAAAATACCATTTAGACATATTATAAATTATATTATTATAGTAATAATAGGTATGTGATAATAATATCACTGCCATGTGCAATGCTTCAAAAACTACGTTTCTCTGACTCGAGGACACTGGAAAATTCAACTGTTTTGCTTGAAATTATTTCATTGCTAACAAGGTCTATAAATATAGTATTTTTTTAATTAGAAAAATAATATGAATTATACAAAAAACTACAACAATATAGCGAACTTTTTTTCGATCATTTTTTTTAGTGGGTAGCTCATTACATAAAAAATAAGTTCTAACCACTGGTGAAAATGTCTTGATCGACTGTTAACAAATATACCGACCATTGGTGAAATGGGTTTTGACATCGTTTAGATTGTCGGCAATAACTACAGATATCAATTATTATATTACGTGAAAAAGGCGTTTATTCTGACAACTTAACAATTGTAAAAAATATCGAATAATATTAAATAAAGACGATAACAATTATACCTCTTCTTTAGAAATAAAAAGGCTCCAACTTGTGCCCTCAACCATAAACTAAAGTTAGCTATTTCATCATCGGGCCTCAATTTCACTCCGAATACGCTCTGTACTTGATGAAAATAACTTTTGATCTCAGTCATAAGTCCAGCAATGCATACCCACAAAATAACCTCCTTGGATACCTTTTGCCATTATAAATACACCGAGTTACTTCGTTAAAAAAAAAATCAACAAATCTCTCAGCTGCAATGAACAAAATGTCCTACAAATAATTTAAGAACAAATAATGAAAATACCTACATATATATTATAGGTACATTACAAAACCAAAAAGGCTCAGCCGTATTATAGAACACATTGAGCGTATAAACTCCATAACTATAGTGCACCATTTATACCGCGGAATCGGTCACTTGAAACTATCCGTCTAACGCCGTATCCAACGTAAATCCGGCGAGGGAGTGCGATTTCTATTCTGACCGTGCTGTTCCAATTGCGTCCGATGCGGCGAAATACAAGCTGTTTTGTTCTTCGACACATCGGGCGCATTTACTTTGGAAACATCTTCTTAACCACATATCTTCCATATCTCTGCAGACCGTCAGCGCTATAATTAAATAAATACGACAAATTGACATCCCTACAATACAAAATAATAATATGCGCGTTCTTAAGATACAGTAAAACCTACTTATAACTGAATCGCTCGGTACCAACTGATTTTTCTGCCGAAAAGGAGTTTCTAAGGAGATTAAAATAAACGGGATATGGGTTGTACTGCAGGATTGTTACGGTTTTTTATTGTGAGGAGATTTTCGTCCATAATGGTCCGTTATAAGGAATTTTACTGTATTAATATTATACAAGTACAAAATCGGATGCACAGCATAATATATATAAATAAAAGGATTCAAATAAGTTCATACTGCTGAGTATACCATCGAAGGAAATGAAAAAAAAGATCTAGCAGCAAAGACTTAATATCACAAATTACAGTACTGTCCAAAATCAGCATATTAATTATATACTCCATAATAAGATCAAAATGCAACTCTCAACTCCAAGTGGCAAGTTAATTGGACCCCCCCCACAAAACCTCTAAATTAAATAAAACAAGACGCAACACAATGGACATATGCCCAAGAGATTCCAAGGAAACTCGAAGTAGTAATAATGAAGTTACGTATCGGCCATACCCATCTCACACACGACACACTGGAGTATCCTTATTGATAAATGATAACAATAAGAGCACACAATGTGTCTTTTATGTGAAGTTCACCTTTAAGTAAAACATATAACTGAATACCACCCCACGTTCTTAAAAATAAAGTATAACCTTCCGGACTAAATATCTTCAGCTTTCAACTCTCGCGCGTTCGATCAAAGCAACAATCAATTTCATCATCACCTTAAAACTCTTAGGGCCCGTTTTATAGTTCAACACAGGACAATCATAGTTTAAACCTCAGTTACGCTTAACCCACTGATTTTACCTGCCGAATTCAGTGGTTTAACCTTAGTTTAAAGATTGTTATACGGGCACTTCGGTAATCAAAATATGATACCACCTCGTAGGTTGGGTTATCTAAATACTTTTATATAAAGCATATATATCAGTAACTCCTTAAAACCGTGAAATAGCCATGACGCAGAGGGTCACAATAATAATAATAAAAAAAATAGTCAATAGTCTTATATGCGACCTTTTTTTTTCTGCGATTTGCATTACAGCTCCCCTGGCCCATTATAATGTGACCTTATGTGACCGGTGGGGCGGCTTTTCCTGGATAATGTAGACAAAAAATTCAATGATTAACTAGGATTTACATCTATCATTCATCTATCAACTTTCAATAGTTATAAATAAATACTCATCCAATTTGTAAATAATAAAATTAAGATGATGTGCTTTACATCGATATTCAAATAGATACAATTTGACTATGAAAAACTAGTTTGTGAAATGTATCATATTCCATCATGATGAATTTGTTTTGCTTTATTTTTGTTAATTATAATATAAAGTAAATAATAAAGTTAGATTATATTACGTTGACCCATATATAATTGGTGTATATTTTTATTTATTTATTTTTTTTATTGATCCTTAAGCCCGGCATCTATGGCCATTAGCTGTTAGTAGGTTGTAAGGTGGTGATGGTAGGGTTTTGTGTTGGTGGGGGTTTACACGTGAGTGTTTGTGTTTTGGCAGAATTTCGAATGGAGCACCCGTAGGTTTCTGCCATGCCCCGGGGTGGGGGATGGCGGCACTTGTTCTCCGGACACCGTGACTTGCCCGGAGAAAAATGCCGCCCAGTGGTCGAGGATCGAACCCGAACCGGCAGCGCCGCAGCCGACGCATTGACCGCTCGGCCACCTCGTCCCCTGGTGTATATTTATAATATAGGTATCGAAATGTATGAATCTTAAATTAAATCTAGGTTAATCACACTGAGTGAAGACAGTTTGTATGTACTTTGGATGTACAATATAATTTATGTATTTAAATCACTAAATGTCTGACATTTTTTTCCGTATAAAATATAAAAACGAGTACCTATATCGAATGTTATGATTGCAGCAGACGTAATACCCACGACTGCAGTGTTGCTGAACAACAATAACAACCACAACATCAACAACAACGGCAGTCATCTCCTACAACAGCATCACCATCAACAGCACCTCAATCATTATCACCAACAGCAACAGCAGCATCATCACCTTCAGTCGTTGCCGACTACCACGCACAATAATGTCATGACAGCCGCGGCGACCGTGGCCACAGCAACGACAACGGCGGTGGCCGCGGCCACGGTCACGGCTACGGTCGCTCCTCCACCGGTGAGGAAGAAGTCTCGGAAGGATGTGCCGCCGTCGTCGTCTCCGGGTCTGCTGGTGAGCTCTTCTTCCGGTTCGCCGGCCGGTCAGCAGGCCGGGGAGAGCGACGGCGGACACTCGTCCGACGGTTGCGGCGACCGGAAGCGGAAGAAGGCTCGGACCACGTTCACCGGCCGGCAGATATTCGAGCTGGAGAGGCAGTTCGAGCTAAAAAAGTACCTCTCGTCGTCCGAGCGATCCGAAATGGCTAAAATGTTGGGCGTCACCGAGACACAGGTAAACAACAACAAAAAATAATTATCTTCACAATAATCGTTATTATTATAATTACAATTATTATTATCACGAGGAGAGCGGTTGGTAATGGTCGGCAGCCGTAAAATAACTTCCATTTAATAGTGGTGCGGTTGCGGGTCACGACACTTGTCCATAAATCTTCATTACCGCCGACGCCGCCGCCGCTCTCGTTATTATTGTTAAGCCGGTCCCACACGACTCGTGTACTCGGCGAATAATCGTCAATCGTGATGCTTTACGATTCGTGTAGGAGATGTTTAATTGTCAAGTATGGCAATTATTTTTAATCGCCGAGTCGCTCGGTGTTTCCCATCGGTCGTCGGTAAATGTGACACGAGTCAAAGGAATTATAAATAATCGCCTATCGATAATTCGGTAATCGTGGAGTTTCCCACACGACTCGTAGTCCTCGCTCAGTACTCGGCTAGTACTCAGTACTAGTTTAGTTTGTTTAGTTTGTTGGAAGTCTGCAACGTGGTAATGTGCAATTAATTTAGTGTACGCATTTGCGGTGACTATATTGGCTTTACTAAATTAATATTTTAATAATTTAATTCATCAGTATACTCATTAGTTATTCATAGTATATTTTTGGTGCGTATTTTATTAAAAATGGAATGGTCAAATGAAAATACAATGGAATTTTTAAATCTTTATGAAAAAGAAGGATTAATATGGAATCCTAAAGATCCTTTACACAAAAATAGGAACGCTGTTAGTGATGCTTGGAAGAGGATAAAAGATCAACTAAGTGTAAACTGTTCAATCCAAGATCTCAAAAAAAAAAAAGATTCACTGATGGCATCTTTTCGACCACTATCCCATAAAGTGAAGGATAGTATGAGAACGGGTTCTGCGGCAAATAATGTGTTTAAACCTAATTGGATTTTTTACGAACCCATGGCAAAATTTTTACACAGTATTTATCAACCAAACGTCACAATTAATACAGAGGTATGTTTATATTTTTATTTTTATGTTAAAGTGATTTATTGTAAATAGTAATTGTTATTAATGCCTGCTTTATTGATGAGTATTATCAGAATAATTAATATAGTTATTACAATTATCGAAAATATAACATGAATTTACCCTATAAATAAAACGCACGATATTGCATTAGTACGATTTTAAATGTATATTATATTTTTTTTATACACACCTAATTTAAATTTAAAGTTATACTATTACTCAATAAGTAAATTATTAAAATACTTAAGTTTTATATTTTAATTTGATTAAATATTTGATTACAATATAATTGTGTAAAATTATGAAAATATTTAAAAATGCAAACATTTTAATAAGAATTTTACACTAAAAAAAAATAAAATAATAATAACAAACAATTGTAGAAGTTTAACAATATGCTTCTTGCCACGGTACTTTTCCGTTTGTCTTAAAGTACTCAGCAAATGTATCTCGAATCATTTTAGCTTCATCTCCTGATTTCCTTGGTACTTTACGAATTGGCACCATAGACGTAATATCATTTTGTTCATTACGCCACGAACCCAGAATCAATTGATCATCATTTTCAATGTCCAATGTGTCTCTAGGTAAATATTTTGAAGACGATGATCTACTTTTTCGTAAAAAATTATGTAATAAAACACAAGTCATTACTATATTTGAAGCTTTTTGTGGTTCAAGTAACATGGGTTTTCTAAGTATCCGAAATACAGATGCCATAATCCCGAACACGTTTTCCACTACCCTGCGAGCGCGTGAAAGTCGATAGTTAAATATTCGTTGTGTACTTCCTTTATTGAAAACGCCTGCGTAAGGTTTCATAATATGGGGACTTAACCCGAAGGCATCATCTGCGACAAACACGTAAGGTATAAATGTTTCCTTTCCAGGCAGTGGTTTATTAGGTGGAAGATTTAATTGATTTTCGTTCAATTTTTTAAATAACGTTGAATTACGAAAAACACCGCCATCGCTTATACGTCCTTGGCAACCCACATCAGCATATGTAAAACAATAATCAGCATCCACTAAAGCCATTAGTACCACACTAAAAGTGCCTTTGTAATTTATGTACTCTGAACCACTATTCATAGGAGATTGTAAAACGATATGTTTGCCGTCTATGGCCCCAATACAATTTGGAAAATTCCACTTCTCATTGTATTCTTCAGCAATTTTCTGCCAGTCTAGTGGCGATGAAGGTACCTGAAAATAATTTTTAAATTTAATTACAGAATTTTAATTTTAGATTCTGAGTGAAACTATAAATGTATTGATTTTACAATGATGTGTGTTTTTTTATTTTATTTTTTTATTTTTTTTTGTGTCTGTGTACACGATAAGTAGTCGAAATAATGCTTCGATTTTCGACTTCAGTATCTTGTTCGATTGGAAAGTGAATATCGTTGGTGCATTGAGGAGGTCAAAATTTAAAATTACCAGTACTTTTCAAAAGCGCCAAGAAAAACAAAAGAAAAATTAAGGAAAAACGGGAATTTTTACGCAAAATCGATTTTTCAGAAAATTGAATTTGGTTTTTGGTGTAACTTTAAAACAAATGACAGATACATGAAATTTTCACTGGTTGTTTATATTTGCATTTTCTATACACGATAACATTTTCAAAATATTTTGATTTATTTTGAACTGTTTAGGGACATTTTCAAAATATTTTGATTTATTTTGAACTGTTTAGGGACATTTTCATTTTTCATTTTTTTTTAGTTTTTTTTTCTAGAAATATCAATAAAATTTTATTTGTTGGTTAAAAAAACTTGAAAATTTAATATAAGGCTCCTAGTATATTGTTTCAAAGGCAGATGAAAAATATTAAAAATCGTTAGTCACAGTTTTTTTTTATAAGCATTTAAAGTTGAAAAATTGACAAAATATGGAAAAATCACGAAAATTAGCAAATTATTTTGAGTTAAGAATTCGTAAAATTTTTCTTTTTCATCCTAAGATTATAAAATGTAATACAAGTTTCCTCATACATTTGTCTACCTTTATCAATAAAAAAATCTCTACCGGACAGTCAAATTAAATTTTTATGAGCGTTTGAAATTCAAATTTTTACAACATTGGATGTTCACTCGATTTCTCATGTAGCGATTTCCTTATTTGGTTGTTATTCATAAACGAATAACTATAGATACATGAAAATTTCACTGAATGTTTATATTAGCATTTCCTATACACCATACAATTTTGAAAATATTTTGACTCTTTTTGAGCTGTCTACGGATATTTTCATTTTTCAATTTTTTTAGTTTTTTTTTTTCTATGAATATCAATAAAGTTTTATCTGTTGGGCCAAAAAGTGTAAAAATTTAATACAAGGCTCCTGATATATTGTTACAATATCAGTTGAAAAATATTAAAAATACATAGGCATAATTTTTTTTATAAGCATCGAATTTTGACAGAATTTTTCAAAATCTCGAAAATTATTAATCATCGTAATTAATAAATTATAAAATGTTCAGTTTTTAAAGCTAAGGATTGAAAAATTAAAACAAGATTCTACGTAAGTAGTTAATTCTCTTACCGAAAAATCTAAAAAATATACAATCACAGTTTATTTTTATAGTAATTTTATGTTCAAATTTGGACGAAATTACATATTAAAAAACCTAGTTATTTTGTTGTGATTATATAATATTATTCGTGGGTACCTACTTGAAACTTCTAAAGTGTACTATTATATATCTATGATAGTATCAGGGTTTGTTATTGATGTTGATGTATAACGTGTTATAAGTACTTAATGGATATTGTGATAATGTGATATGATTAATTTGGAATTTATTATAGGTCAATTTTTATTTTAATACCATAGATATGTATATAATTTGTCTTAAACCTAGACTGATATACCGTCTTCGCTCAGAATCGTTTTTCTTATACAATGATATTGTATCATTGAATTCAAATAATAGCATCCATTATACAGTGACCCACTTGTAACCTACTGTACAGCAGAGCGACATCCACTTACCAACATTTTTTTTTTATAATAATAATAATAATAATAATAATAATAATAATGTATTAAATAAAAGTGTAATTGTTTTGAGTTTAATACTCTTAAAATAATATTAAAAACGGTGGACAAGTGGTAGAAGTTGGTTAAATTTAAATTGAATTGTATATCATAGTTCATTATACACGAAAAATTATTATTAAAATTAGTATTAAAGATTTAGAGAATCTAGGATCTCAAAAAAAGTACTCGATATTTATTAAGGAGTTGAAAATATGAAAATTTAATGTCATCTTATGTTATTTTTGGTTTGATTAGGAATTTATTTATCAAGATGATATATCAAATGTAGCCGAAGAAAACATAGAAGATGATGTTATTTTAACAGAATCAGCCTTACCGTCTCCAGGTTCATCAGTTTTTAAATCCCCAGCGACCAAAGGAATGAAAAGAAAGAACGTAATTGAAGACTGCATGATGGATGCATACAAAATTATGAAAAATGTCGTTGAAAAACCACAAAAAGATGATTGTTCTTTATATGCAGAACTACTGGCTCGAAAACTTAGAACATTTGATGAGTCTACTCGGGAAATACTCATGCACGAGATCGACGAATTAATTTTCCGTACAAAATGTGAAACACGAAACCGTACTGTACAATCGCATTTACCTACAATGCAGCTTGGACATCAGTATCCACCATCCTATAATAATTATGCCATACCTCCATATAATCATAACACTTCTTTGTCTCAATTGCATTCAAATATGATACATTCTATTAATAATATGTCTCCTATGGTTTCTTCTTTTTCTCCTCATTCATCAGAGAATTCTCGCATAAGTCAACCTTCTCCAAATCCAAATCCATCTAATAGATCTCAATCTCCAGAAACTTATTTTACAAGCAGTCTTAATCATAACACTTCTATGTCTCCATTGCATTCAAATATGATACATTCTATTAATAATATGTCTCCTACAGTTTCTTCTTTTTCTCCTCATTCATCAGAGAATTCTCGCATAAGTCAACCTTCTCCAAATCCAAATCCATCATCTAATAGATCTCAAGCTCCAGAAACTTATTTTACCAACACTGAACAAAATGAAAGCGTGGAAGATAATTTGTTTATGTAAAATAATTAATAAGTAGGTACCATAAGTTTTGTTATTAAAAAAAAGGATATAAAATATTATTTTAAAAAAAAGAATATGAAATATTATTATTATTATTATAAAGCCAGTTTTTATTTAAAAATGTAAAGAGGATAAAATGTTTATTATTTTTTTTTTTTTTTAATTTTTATATTTTATTAAATAGAAGTGAAGTTGATAAAAAATATTTTACATTTATTTGATATTTTAGCTCATAAATACATATATAATCAATAATCATGTCCAATATTTAATATTCTTTTATATAAAATATTACTTTTGTTATTAACAATTTTATGAAGCCAGTATTATTTAAAAATGTAAAAAGGAGATTATGTATATTATTTTTTTTTGAACTTTTTATAATATTTTATTAAATAGAAATAAAGTTGATTACAGATTTATCTTACCTTTATTTGATCTTTTAGCTCATGAATCAAAGCGTAACACACCTCATGTACAATATTTGATATAATTTGATTGGAAAATTTGAACAAGTAAGACAAACTAGTAAAACTATCTCCAGTTGCCAAAAATCTAAGAGTTACTGCTAATCTATCTTGGATAGGTATAGCTTTCCTCATGTTTGTGTCTTGCTTTTTAATAATTGGACCAACTTTATTTAATAGATGTTCAAAGTCTTCTGCTGACATCCGACAAAAGTTTATAAATTTTCCCGATGGTTCACGGTTTAAATCTTCCAACATATTTGAAGCATTATACCTAAAATAAATGTATACAAATACATATTATACAAGTACTAGTTTATATATTAACTGTTTATAGTGTTTAAAACATATAATTTCAGAACAATTTAATCAATTATGTTAAATAATAAAATATAGTGTAGAATAATTAATTTATCATAAGTTTATAACTTAGTCAATCTCACTGAATATTATTTAAACACTCGAATTCAATATGTAAAAATTACTTACCTTTCTCGACTTTTATTCAATGACAATGTCCACCACCTTCTTTTAGTTTTATTTTTTTTAATTTTCGTTTTTAAATGATATGCAGCACACATTACCGTAAATGCAGCGGCGCTAACAACAGACTTCTCGTCGTCACTATCCATTTTGGACTGACGCAGTCATGTATTTCGTTTTCGTATATTTTTGCCCGATTATCCGAGTCGTGTAGGAGGATTGGCGATGACAATTAATAATACACGATGATCGGATAATCGGCGAATATATGAGTCGTGTAGGAGCGACATAATCGTCAAGTCAAAATACTCGGCGAACATACGCGATTACTATACTCGCCGAGTACACGAGTCGTGTGGGACCGGCTTTATTATACTCTTATTATCGTCGTCCCCGTTCTGTCTTATATTATTATTATATCGGCGACGACGGTCGTGTGTTGTTTGTTTGCTGTAGTAGACGTAATCGAAAATCGTTTTGTTTTCAAATAATGATAAACGATAAATAAATAACGCAATAAACGCGTCGTGGTGAGCTACTGCTGCTGTAATAATACAATTTATATTTATTATTGTTAGTGTATTGTTGTACTGCATAGGAGGTGGCGGGATTCGTAATTCGGTAGCCGCGCACGACATACCGACCGACCGATGAACTATCTATAATATTATACACGTTCATAAAACAATCATTTTTTTCACAGGATTTCGATTTCTCAATCGGTAATTATTATAATTATCACCAACGTTTTATTGTTTAAGTCATAATATAATATGCGATGTTGGCATAATAATATTATTAAATACGTCTTATCACTTAATCATATCGTATAATATTATTATCGTCATTCTTTTTGTGTGCACAGCGGTATTGTATATTACACCTATATAAGTAGTTCAAACTATATATAGTCAAAACCGTTTGAAATAAATTGAACGTTAAAAAATGACTAATTGCTTGGCTCTGCGCCAATAACATTTCTTCATCGCGTTATTATTATTATTATGTAATAGCACGCACGAGGTTTTTGATTGAGCGCAAACCGTTTGTTATAACTTAAATATTATATGAGCGTGTTATTAAATCGAAATGGCGGTAGGGTGTGTGCATGTGTTTCGCGTCGTTTCGTCACCGCTAAGATTATATTTTTACGATGCGTTTTTATCCGAAAAAGCAGCGTCGTTGCTGGGAAAAGTGCAAAAAATTGTTTAATTGAATGCCGATAACCACAGCGATACAATTATAATATTATATTTAAAAACAATCACGTTGTTTGGGCATTCATTCACAGCCTCGCGGGCAAATGTTATATTTTATCGTCGTAGGGTTTCGATAATCGATAATATTATTGTCTTGAGAAAATATAAGACGTATATTATGTAATACCTAGTGGCTTACATATAAAATTATTATTAAAGTATTTATGTATAAATTATTAGGATTTGAGAACGGTCGGTATTGATCTCTGCCGTGCTGTACCTATAAAACGCGTCTTATACGACTTATATATTATGTTAAAACACAACTTTTAAAAGCGTCGCATCGGTTTTTCTCTGGTAAAGAAAATGAATTTTCCTAGTATGTACAATTGTACTCGTTCATATTATTATGAATTATGTCTGTTATAGCTAGACCTGAGGTAGATTTACTACGGGTGTCGGGTGACGAGTATTATAAGTATTAAAGTATCGTGTTCATCATCGGCGCAGGCATTTAATATAATGTACATAGGTATCAATGCAGATCATATTATGAAAAGATTTTAAAGCTACCTATTAGGTAAGTCTTAAACAAGATAATTAGCGTATAAACTTAACACAATTGAAGAGAGAACTAAACTGAAACGTACCATTTAGGACGTTCTTGACTTGAATTCAATATTTTCGAATAAATTCTGAAGACAACGTCGATTGTTGTTTATACAGCGTATATAATAACGAAAACAACAAATATATACGCCTGAATAGCTCGGGGAACGGTTTTTTTTCGCGTTCTCTTCCAGACAAATCGCCTACAGAGACAAATACAAATATCATATCGCTGAGGACATTTTCGAAGGGGTTTCCCCGAAAAACGATCGACTCCACTCGACGGTTTGCTCGGGTTGTTATCACATTTTATAGTATTGGCAGTATCACTATAATATTAAACAATACATCAATAAATTCTTATATTTTAATAATTATTAAATTACTATTATCGCACACGTCGCCAGCAAACCGTTTAATAATGACACTCGAATCACGTATCGTATTTTTAACGCGCGTTTTTCCCCTCTATTTCGACTGGGAAACACATTTAACGTTCTCGTCCACTGCTGTTCTAGTGACTATAATATTTAAAAATATTATTCAATATTTCTCTTCTATTTTTAGTCGTGTGCGTGTCACGAGATCCCGCGGAGTTGAGTCTAATTAATAAATAAATCGGTTTCGGATGTCACGCGTGTATAGCTGGTAGGTCTATACTGTGTGCGATTAATTTTTTTATTATAATATTTATAATATAAACACATTATTATACGGTATAATATTATAGCTGGTTCCTATATTGTACGTCGAACGAGGCGTTTATTTCGTGCGCCACACCTTTCAGTTGTTGTCTTCTAGTCCCGTAAAAAAAAATCACCAGCCTATGCGTATAATTCCGGCCGTAACGCGTTTGGGTTTATTGACCTAATATACAAAACATTTGCATTGATTAAAATGGAATAATATGTTCAATTTGGCTGTTGTCAATACCACAGTAATATATGCGTTTCAGAACTATAGTGCACTGTACACTAGATTGACTACATACGACATACCTATAGGTAATATATATACAGGTAATATATAAATATGTATAAATTGGAATAACTGTCGTTAAAAATTTTATACCTACGCAGTTGATATTTTTATTTAGAATACCTTATCTTTAGTTAAATTTCAGACAGTGAAGTAGGTACTTCCGTGTGGTACGCTAATATATATTAGTTAATAAAAAAAAATATAAAATGTATAATTATTAACATATCAAGAAAATTCCGGCTTATATATGTCTGATATGATATGACGATACGTCTATTATTTACTTATATTGTTCGGAATATTATAATTTTGGTGCTCACGAGTAGTTTTTAGAATAAACCGTTCCCCAAAACTAATCCAATTGTATATTTTTATTTAACTGATCCAAACATTCCAAACGGATACTCCCAGTGGCTCCCTGCACATATTAATAAGACGTTTGGGTTTGGTCATATTATAATATATTCTTTGGAAAATAACAGTAAAGCACGTTTGGGTATTACATCATAGAATATATTTTATGCACCTATACCTATACAATATTTGATACGAGACAGCTTATTAGCACAGATTATATAAAACCAGATGGTGCACTTCTTCGATTTACTGATAACACGAACCTACCTCAAATCAGTAGGGCCACATAAGGAAAATAAAATAATGTACAACATACTTTACCATAATTTTTAATTATTGTATTAAATAATATTATATAGTATATTATGTATATTGTAAGGAATGATCGTCAACGTTAATAGAATTCCAAAATTCATCTAAAAGTGTGTGTAACTTTAATTTAACATATGGATTAGTTTGTTCTAATCTTTGGGCCAATGTTTATTGTATCTACTTATATATTTTTTAAACTATATTATAGATGATCTTGTTAAGTATATAAATACTTGCTTTCAAATACTTCTTAAATATTTTTTGAGAGGAGTATTTTAAATATTTAAAAAATATATTTTTGTATTATTATTCCAGAATACTATTTTTCACACGTCAAGAAGTAGTGACTCTTTCACACAATTTAAAAGTATGTGTTATATCACAAAGACGAAAGACAAGGAGGAAATACATTATATTAAAAATAAAAACAAATTTTGGTCCGTGGTAGGAGTGTTAGCTCGTTTATTAGGTATAATGTTAGTAGTAATAATTAACAAGATTATAGGTGATGCAACTGAAAGTATTAAAAAATAGGTGGCTACTTGTAGCTCCAAAACCGGTCCACAGTCCAACTCTCTGGAGACGTCTACTTGTAGCTCCAAAATAAATCCACAGCCTGACACTTTGGTGGCAGCTAATTGAAGCCCCAGAGCTGTTTCACAGCCCAACGCTCTAGAGACGGCTATCTGTACCGGTGTTATTGCCATCGCATGTTATTGTTAGCCTGTGAGAAGTAAATATATGTCAGCAATTATGTAGGTACAATATTGAAGTATTAAACAAGTACAATATTGGTAGTGACTTATGAATTAATTTAAGCAATGAATTATAAATGTTGTAAAGTAGCTAGTTTTCTTTTTTTTAAAGATTTTTCTGAAAAAAAATCCTTATTTAGAAATTTAATTGTAGAAAAAATTCTGAATCTAACAAACAAATTAAGAAGATAATCTTTATCAAAACTTTCACACGGGTGATTATAAATTATGCTAAACATACTTAATTTTAATTTTTTACCTACTTCAATTTCTGGAGCAAGTATTGGAAAACGATGAATAAAAACAGATTCTAAGTTATATATATAGTTATAAAAATCATGATGTGGCATCAATAAATTGCCATAAGTTGAATTTTGTTTATTAGTATATGCTTTAAAATGAGAAAACAAAAATGATTGGTCTAAGTCTTGTTGAAATTTAGCATAATTTATACAAACATCACAACTATGTTTTTCTAAACACTTTTTCATTAAATAGCCACAAACATATGTTAATGAATTTTGATCTGGTAGACTTAAATCCCTATAATCTACAGATCCAATAGTAAGTGGCGTTTTAAATTTAAAAGGAGATTTTTCAGGAAACATTATATTTTGAATTTCTTTATTGGAGGGATCTGGAATTTCAGATAATATATCATCAAAATCTTGAATGCAATTGGAATTTTCAGAATGTTGAAAATAATTTAAGCAAAATATTTTTTTAAAAGCATAATAAAATTGTACTGGAGTGGGATTCATATTATTACCATTTTGGTTGCGAAATGTACCAAAAAGGTTTTCAATTCTATCTTGGTTTAATCTATTAGTGTATAGAACATAGTTGTGACTAGGACTTTCACGTTTTAATATTGTCCACAATAAATTTAAACCAGCAATGGAAACTAACCAGCCTTTAATAAATTTCATTCGATTAGTTACATCTTTGTTATTTTTATCAAAAACTTTTAAGTTTGTAAAGAATTGTTCCATGAATAACAAATGTGAATTTTGAGACTGAGTATTTTTGAATGGTCTATTAAAATCTTTTAAATTAGGTCTTTTATATGAATTAAAAATATCAAACAATTTATCCATATCTTTAAAAAAATTAATGGTTTGTTTTGAAGAAATTGGTAATTTATTTAATGCTAAATAAGTTTCCATGCCTGCTGCAACAGTTGCACTAAAAGTTTGAGCAGCTAAGTAAACCCTCATCTTTTGAAATGCATTTGGATATATATGTGGATATGTTAATTTTGGAGCTAAACGTAAATTACAAGTACTGTCTTGGTTATAAAATGACACAAGATATTTTTTTTCTATTAAATCTTCATTTAATTTAAATTTATGTTGGAAAAACATATTCCTTGTAGCTTTCAGAAGATGAGGTGGATCAAAAATGTAAACTATTTTTTTATTATTAACTTCAAAATATGGCCGAGATGGAGAAACTTGAAAATTATTACTAAAACCTACAAAATTTGAACCCATATCTGTTATAAAAGCTTTGATATCTAAAGAAGTACTTTGAATTTTAATTATTGTTGAAATAATAATATCTTGCAAGTCATAACCAGTACATGAACTAGACACTAAAAAATATGCAATCGGTTGCTTCCAATTTACATTTATACCACTAAGCATTAATACAAGTGCATACTTTGCAGGTTCATAAGTTTTACGATTATTAGTGACATTAAATCCCATTATTTCATCTTTTTTAATTAAATAATATAAGTTAGTTTTTAAAGACATTTCATCTGCACAAAGTATACATTGTAATGCCTCAGGGGTATAATTTCTAGTTTTAAAATTAATAAAATTAAATAAAAAATCATTTAGACCGGGTAGAATTTCAAATTTCGAAGTTGTACGTTTAAGAGTACTGATTGTTGGCAGAGAAAGTGTTGTTTTAATAAAATTATAAACCTTTGGTCCCAAAAAATAAATAGTTAATGCAAATTGTTTCATTTCATGGTCATATCTGTAACCCCCTTTTTTTCTTTCTTTCTGCATTAAATGTGATTTAATAATTAGAATTAAATTTGGAGATAAAAATTTTTGACAGTGATTTAAAAAAGATTCTACAGAGTCTAAATGATCTAATAGATAGAGCCTGTTCTCTAATGTCTTAATATGGTCCTTGGCTAATCGCAGTTGTTTCCTCAACTCCAATTTTCTTGGAGTTGCATTTGAAAGCTGCAATGGAGTTTGAGTCGATGAGGTTGAACTGCTGACAGACAAAGTTGATGATGAACGATCTGGGCTACAACAAGCTAAAGGTGTAGATAAATCCACGGTAATATCCGCCTCGTCACAACTTGCTCGTTTAGCCAATATGTCATCTAAAACCAATGATCATTATTACTTCATTTTTTTCATTATCAAGAACATTCATACTCAATATTCATTTAAGTTATATCTTACCATTAAAGAGAGTAGGAACAGCATTATCTGTTAATCGGTTTTTAGTAAGAACATTCAAAAACATTTTGTTTTCAAAATGTTCTTGACATATACGAACATCTTTAACCTGAATGTTTTTGTCAGCAAGTTCGGGAATACAATTTTCAATCCACATTGCACGCCTTGTACCATATAAAGTATAGCAGTATAAAATAGTTGCTATGATATATTATAAAATTAAAGAAAACAGAAATCAATTTAAATATTCTTACGTACCTTTCTGAGTCCTTTGGTAACGTAAAGTAACTCAGCGCATTTGAATGTACCGAACTTTTATTAGTGCAGTATTTCACACCACATTTTCGGTATGCAATACTTTTAGAAGTCTTCATAATTCAAATGAAAAACCACTCACAGATGGGAACAAAAATCAATTGTGAATCGGTTTTCCGTAAAAAAATAACAAGAATTCGCGACTCGAGAATGACGAGAATACAACGGCTGAACGGCGTCAAAAAAGTCAGTGATGCGTAGCTAAAAAACAATAATTTCTCATAAAGCCTTTTTTTCCCTATTCGTGGTGACACTGATTTGAGGTAGGTTTTATTTCTTCATATTTTTGAGAATTGCATGGGCTAAATAGGGAGTGCACCATCTGTTTTTATATAATCTGTGTTATTAGCTTTAGAACCCTGCACGAGACATCACGTAAAGAGTTTGGCATTTTATTTTCTAGCAAAAATATTTTTGCAATGTATAATATTTCCTTGTCGACGTTAGAAAAGTTGTAACTTTTATTCGATTACTACTGATATTTATATTTTATAATTTTTATTTTTTACTTATGAATACATATTCTTTCTTATATAGTTATACAGTTTTTAAGGGCGCATAAAGAAGCTGAAAATAATGCGTCCGATCAATATTTCAGCCCAAACATTTTTAATCGGACTTCTTTACTAGCAGAACCTTACTTTAGCCGACTGTATTTTAGCCGAAAAATATTTCAGTTGACTGTAGTTTAGCCGATAGTGTTTTAGCAAACAGTTAGTATTTTAACCCCTCCAATTTTTTTTTACCAGTCCTAGATCAATCCAGAGTCCAGACCGCGCAGAACCGAACTCGGATAAATATTTCGTCAGATAATCATGCACGATGGGGCTTTATAAATATTAAATTATATTCCTCAATATTTATCGTTTTCAAAAGTCCATAACTATAATAATATTATAATCTGTGAATAAAATATGACCAAAAAATGTGTTATACCTAAACATACATATACCGACGTTCGTATAGCTTTAAGCCCAAATATTGTGGATGTTTCCGTGTCTCCGTCTGTCTGCCTGTCCGTCCGTCCGTCTCTTTCGGATATCTTGATGCACATAAATAATAACATTATATGATATTATGCACGCGTATTATATACGGGTGAACCGGGGTACAAGCTAGGTCGATTGCCGTTCGGGCCAAAGCAAACACACTACGGATTTATCTTTAGACAGCCGTCGAACAGCGTCTGCAGCATATATCTATATATGTGCACGTACATAATATTATACGTTTTGTTATTGTAACATTAGATACCGAGACGGTGGTTTTATTCGTCCGATGCTGCGGGAGTGATCGCGTTGACGGATTTCTTAAACTATAGGCGATTACGTCGGTTAAAATTAAATAAGCGAAAAGCGCCAGCAGTATACCACAGACGTATGTGCGTACATCTCACAGGCTTCAACGACCACATCGTTTTTTGCTCACATCCTAATAATTTTCTGTTCATGTTATGTGCAGTGCACGTTCAAATTCTGATTATTGGAAATATGCTTTTACCTGTATATATTAATATTACACATAAGAGAAAAAGTTCTGACTAACTATGATCGTAGCAAAAACTATGATATAGGTAGCAAATAGCTATATAGACTTGGAATTGCAGGCATAGCACCTTCGTGTGCCTTAGAAAGAACTAGAAGAACGGATTTTGTGAAATTTTGATTTTAAGGCCCAAAAATAATGAGGAACACTGCAGAGTGCTTAACTTTTGATTAAAAATTGAAATAATAATATTACTGGCTCAATTGATACTGTATTATAATACATTATGAGATTTGATATAGAGGACCCGAAACTACCGAACCGATTCACTTGAGATTTTGAGGGAATGTACTTATTAGTTATTATTATTTATAGATATAGGCGCACTAAGAAAGGATTTTCTAAAATTCTCATTCTAAAGAGGTGATCACATGGATGAGGTGTCTGTAGTGGAGTGTATTAAAAACATATAGCGTCTTCCCAGTTTTTACATATATTCATATTTCATTAGTTACTTATTATAATTAATCTGTAGTACCTATAGGTATATGCATGTCTGTCAAAAAATAAATTCAAATAGGTGATTATGATGTGGGACGCAGTACCTGAAGGGGAGAGATTTCATTACAATGTACAATACAAACAGTATACACTTTTTAATATAACGTTAACTTACCCCCCTCCCCCCTCTTGGTACTTTGGGTCACTGTGTTTAAACGTTTCAATGGGTTATCATTTTATCAATGTGTGGAAAACGCTAATACAAGATAGAGTAGATAGACCATCCTGTAATATACACGAACGTCATATTATTACTCACCTGCTGCGTAGATATATATTGTAAATTATATTTATTTTATAGGCTGCACTTTGGTAAATATGTTCCCGTGTGTATGTGTGCTGTTTAAGATGTCTATAATATTCTACCTACTTATATATCATTGTTCGTATGCTATGCATCTATATTTGTGACAATTAATATTGTATTCATCGAACGTCTAGACTGCAACAGAGATTTTTGTCTGGGATCGACTCGTGTCAGTGTGACCCAAATAATAATAATAATAATATGCGCAGTAAGTGTATTATATTATTATATGCGACTAAAAGTTAAATTTGAATTTGTATAATAAACTATTCGAGAAACTGTGTTGTTGAGCACTCCGCTTGGTTTGACACAATTAAACGATGTGTTTAATGGGTATATATTATTATGAGCGAGCGAGCAGACACGCGAAAATAATTATTATGACATTACGCATGTGAATTTTTATACATCACATAATAATGATATACGAGTTATTTCACTCTGACGAATTTTTTTAAACTTTGTATCTTATTATTATTATTATATAATATTATGTCAATTAAATTTTTTTTTTACAAAACCACGAAATCAACTATATTATAGTTATTATTTATATACTTGTTTAAGTTTTACTTTTTTAATACGTTTATTTTTCGACGTTTAAATTCGAGTTCTACGGAGCTTCGGGCTAACTAGTTAATTTCAATATACTTATTAGTTATTACGCAATGAGAACCTCGTTATATTGCCCTCTGGCCAAAATCTTTTGAAAAGATGTTGTATACTAATAATACAAAGTGTAAAAAAGTTTTTCTCTCTATCTCGAAAAAAAAAGGTTCGAATGCTGATTGGAATGTTTTACAATCGTCCGGGGAAAAAGTTTGTGGCAAAACTCTATACAGTGTTCGAATCGAACGCATCCTAAATAACCCATAAAGCCATATAAAATAAATAATAATAACGGGCAACGAACGAAAACAGCTTCACGAACGAGTATATACCACTACACCAGTATAACTATATCTTCTCGTTTCCGTGATTTATGGCCACCGAATTAAAAAAAAAAATAAATACCACACGTACATTTGCAAACATGTGCAGGCTAATTAGTCATTCTGCTATATTATTATTTAGTGTCGTCACTGCTGCTGCTGCTGCTGCAACGTGGTACATAAAAATGTATATTTTAAGACGTTAATTTCACACTAATTTATCGCCAGTTTTCATTTTTTGTTAATTACTCAAAAAAATTTGTTAAAATTATTATAATAATATGATATTACGCCGCAGCAGAAGTCGAAGCGGTCTTTGATCGAGTTCCACTTGTTGAATGCGTGCGTGACAGTAAATGAATAAAATGTATTTCAAAACTGATTCCGCATAATTACACATCGAGCACATAAAATAAAATAATATTATTATATTATACGCTTGACTCCGCGCTACATTTAAAAATTTTCGTTAAAAATTAATAATTTTTCTTTCGCCGCTCGATTTACAAACGACTCTTCGCAATTAAGAATACATCAAAAAGTATATTATACGATATTATTTTAATAATGTCTATCGTCACGCCGCGAAAACTCCATTACGATTTTTCGCCAATTCGTCGTCGTGCGGTATACTAATAATAATAATATAGTATACAGCAAATAACGACTAATTATACACTCGACCGTGAGTAAATTTTAATCTTCAACACCGCGACGCGTTAACGATTTTTTAACTGCTCGTCGTCGCTTTCAATTAGCGCGCTGCAGTATACTCGTACAATAATGACGGCGGGCGTTTCGGTGCAGCAGTCTATCGCTTTGTGTACTCTTTATTTTAACCGACATCTATATGAACAAACTATATTATTTTATTAATAATGCAGCTACATGCATGACACTATAGTATATAGAAACCGTCAAACAAGATTAATACGATTAAATTACTATACAATTTTAAACCTTTAAGATGATCATTCACAAAAACTGGCTTCTACAGCACCGTGCACTTAATATTATGAATTATCAATCGGTGCCCGGACGATTTGTCCTTAAAATTGTGTATCCATGTAAATGTGTGTATCCATCATTGTGTTAAGGGTTAAATTTTTTTGATGTCCTCCGATAGTTATAAGACGTCCACTAATAAAAACATCCCACTATTTTATTTCTACTCGTGAAATCAACCGGGAACTAATTACCAAACGGCCCCCTCGTGGAAGAACTCTGTCAGGCCCGCTAGACAAGCGGAATGTATTGTTTTAATTATTTGTTTGATGGTAAATTGAGGTTTTCATATTTTTATCTTTCGATTTTTCATTTACTTTCTTTGGATAAAAGCATGTATACATTCGATTTCGATGACCTATGTTCTTGAATTTCTAAATAGGCTCTCCGAAAGTACTGCGGTGAAAATAACATCGGAGATTTCTGCAATTATCGCCAGGCAACCAAAGGTATAGTGTCGTCAACTGCAGGACCAGATTACAACGCGTATAATAATATTATGTGTGTGGAAACGCTAGAAATCATGATCAAGTGTCGCTCTTTTAGTACCTAGGTACCATATTATCTTTTATATAACATTATTTATTATACGTTTCGTCAAAACGTTTGTGGAGTCTGATCTCGTACGCCGAATACCTCAACTGTATATAATATATTTATGCGCGTAATTAGATTCAACGCGTGTACGCGTGTGTAATATCATATGATAATGTATACGTATTTACTTATTATTATCCTGTTCGTTTGTATTACACTGTCGTCTGCCTTTTGCTCATTCGATAACACACTCACTAACACGAACGGTAGGTAATGTAATAATAATAATAATAATAATAGTAATAATAGTAGTAATAGTAATAGTAATAATGTTACACTGGCTGCACACACATCAAGACGGACGTTTTCCGAAACATGTGTTCTTTATTTATTTATTTATTTATTTAATTTTCGTTATTTCGTCGACGTAATCAACTTCTGTCTCTCGGGCGATTACAATTTATTGTTATTTTTGGCACGTTTACCGCGCGCGCGAAACGAAGAGTAAACAATTTTCGAGTTCATAAACACCGCCGCCGTCGTCACACTGCACACTCGCACCGATAATATTAAATTATTATGTACCTGTTGCCAAACTTTTCTGTCCGTCGTCGTCGTCCGTGTGCACCTTGTGTATAATAATGCTCAAGATTATATACTTGGATTATAGAGCCATATGCTAAGGACGGCGGAGTGGAGGGGGGAAGGATCGAATGTGTCCCCTTAGAGGTTCCAAATTTAATTACTTACAATATTTTTTTTACAGATATTATGTAAGTATATTATGAGACGAGATTCATTTGATATACGGTGCTACACGGTGGTCGTTATAATACGATTTACCAAACCTCCTACTTCCGTATAAGTCAATCGACTTGATTGGCCGTGTTTGCACAACTTTTCGTGTATTTTCGTCAGGGCCGGCGTTAGGGGTGGGCAACCAGGGCCTACGCCCAGGGCGCTTGTTGAAAGGGGGGAGCCTCAATGATATAATGTTAAAACTGAAAAAAATATAGGAATATAGTTATACTTATAATATTCTATCCATTCTATTGATTATTATTTATTATGGTTGGTGTATAATAATTTAGTCCATAAATGATAAATGATTATTAGTGCCGGATCTCACTATGCGTTTTTTTGGCTGCCGATAAAACGCAACCGATCGGGAACTCCATAATTTACAATTTAGTATTTACTGTTTCAAATCAATGTAGCTAGTAAATCAATGCAAGGAATCACTATGGACATAATCACAGCCACTTCAATTGTTAAAGGTTGTTTAAATTATATTATTTCTTATCGAAATACAGGATATATTTGCGCTGTTTCATCTGCTAAAAAAATTGCTGAAACTTTAAATGTGGAAACAAGTTTCAAACCCAAAAGACATAGACTAACTAAAAGACAATTTCAATATGAAAGCTTAGACAATTATGAACCTACTCCAGAAGAGGAATTTAAAAGAGATTTTTTCTTCTGTCTTATAGATACAAGTATAACATCAATACAGTCACGTTTTGAACAGTTGGAATCTCATAAAAATACATGGGGATTCTTATATAATATTTCTGATTTGCCTGAACATGATACTTTGGTAAAACATTGTATGGATTTACATAATACACTTAAAAATGAAGACCAAAATGATATCAATGGACTAGATTTATGTGTTGAATTGGAACATATTAAAACTCTATTACCAAAAGATGTATCTTCTCCAAAAGCAGTATTGGAATATATGTTACAATCTAATACATCTGATCTATTCCCAAACACCTGGATATCCTTAAGAATTTTATTAACAATTCCTGTTACTGTTGCTAGTGGTGAGAGAAGTTTTTCGAAATTAAAACTTATTAAAACGTATCTGCGTTCGACATTGGGAGACGAAAAATTGACATCTCAACAATCCTTTCTATTGAAAATGAAATAGCTCAAAGAATGGATTTCTCAGAAATTATTAAAAATTTTGCAAAATCAAAAGCAAGAAAAGTTTTTATCAAGGTTTAGTATCTTCTTTTTTTTTGTTAAAATATATAAATAAATAACGAACTGTTAATTGTAATATGATATGCATTTGTTTGTTTGTTTTTTTTTAATAAAATAATACAGTATATATTATATTTATTTATAAATAGTACAATAAGCATAAGTGATGTTTTTAAATATGATTTGTTGACGTAAGTAAAGGAACCATCAAATTATGGCACTTGAATTTTATTTAATTTAAAATAAAATGACTACTATTCATATGGGGAGGGGCGCATATTCGTTTACTCGCCCAGGGCGCCAATGACCCTACTGCCGGCACTGATTTTCGTTACTAACTATTTTTGTTAAAAACATTTTTTTTGCAACTCGATTGATAAATATATTTTTTATAACAGCAAATAGAATGAGCGTATTTCTCCATCCACGTCTGTCAAACGAAAATAAATATAACAAATATAAACTAAACTGCAGACGCTCGACATCTCGGACTGCCCTACAGAAATTATACATCAAATGTATTTTCACCTATAATACCTACACCTACACAAAATATTGTGTTGAACGGCACGGGTGTGCCAACCACGATTTTCTGTTGTTTTTCACACAATTATTGGCCGCGACGGCGACTTAAATCGAGACCGAAATGGCGAGATATGCCAACAGAAAAATCCGACAAATCGAAAAAACTAAACTGTGACGTTTCGTTATTTATATTATTATACTTTTAAAATGACGTGTTTTTAACGAGCGCAGCAGCTCAGTCGTTCGTGTCGGCAGCGTCGACGGCCGTCGTCGTCCGCTTTAAATTAAAAATAACGCCGCGTGCCCGCTGTACCGCGTTTTTTTCTTCTCGCGTTCAGCAATTATACTTTTGCACTGTACGTCTATACACATTATTATAATAAAAGTGTACATTATATTATATGAGTCAGCCGCCGGAAGACAGATCGCTGCAGTTTTCACTGTCGGAAAAGCTTTTTTAACGGGTCGACATTTTTATAATAGCGTCGATCGTACGCACACTCGAACTGTGTAGAGTCGGAAAAGATAACAGAAAAACACTTTCTAAAAGATTTTAGAGAAATAAAAAGCCGATCATTTCTGTCACAAAACATTCCGAACAACAAACGATATTATAAATTATAATTATTTAATATTTTAAAATATTATGATTTATAGTTATATAATATAAGATACCTCCTATAATGTATTGCTAATATATTTTGTTGTAAGGTTATTGATCCTTATTGATCGTATTATATTATTAATTGTTATATTAATCTTCTGGTGAAAATGATATCGATAAAAATATATTTCGTTTAAACACTCGCACTGCTTTTTGTAACGCTGATGCGAATACATATAATATAAATTGTTAATATTTTACCGAAGCGTGTGAGTGACGACAGCTGCTGCGTGCGTTTCCTTTGACGATGACGTGTTATACTTTTTAAATAATTTTAATCTCGAAATACGAACACAATCGTGAAATAAATCGTATACGAGAAGAAAAAAACAGTATACTAGGTACTAGTAGGATACTACGGTACCTATTATGTGTTTAAAATTGATGCCCGAACTTAATAATATTATATTATAATTATAATAATTATGTAGTGCATGTAATTCGTTTTGTAAAATAGTAAAATACAATACTATTATGATGGTCTGTAATGTTGTTTTGACAATGTTGAAATCCCTTTTTCAGCGACATCTAGTACAATGAAATTAATTAAAAAAATTGGTTTGGGCAGCTTGAAAGAAGCGTGATTCGATGATAGGAAAGGTAATTGAGGAAAACCCATTAGTGAGGAGACCTCTTGGAAGGCCCCTGTTAGGGTGGAAGGACTGTGTAAAAAGGGGTATGCAGAGGCAGCAGAACCAAATAATAGTCATTGGCAGTAAACAGTGGAGGGTAACGTGTTAGATGTCGAAGTGTCTGGTTAGGTATGGTGTTAAATGACGAGACCAAAAAATAAGAGAATGCTGTTTGAATTTAGTTAAAACGATATTTAGATAAATCGCGATGGCCGATGGGGGGGGGGGTATACTATATAATATATAATATAGTATACTATATAATAATATTACAAAATATATTATTATACACATTATATATTTCAACTGAACCGATGTGTATAATAATTGCTTTTAATTACGCTGGCAGTCTCGACAATGGGAAACTTTTAATTGGCACGTTTCCAAACGAAAGTGACGACGGCGAATCGCGCGTGTACAAATTGATTTATGCGAGCACTCGTTATTCTCATGCTACGGACCTGTCGCAGCAGCAGCAGCAGTATACTATATTATAGCTATTTTGACATCGAAATCGTCTCCGAAAAACCGTACGGTATTTATACTCGCGTAGTGGTGTCCGTTTGTGAATCGCATAATATATTATCATGTGCGTATAAATATAATTTTGTCGCCTAAGTGATTTCCGTATAGTCCCGAAAGACGCGTATAGGACAAAATAAATAAAATGAGATACTTTCGAAAGGGAGGGGAAGGGGAAACAAAAAATACGAAACCGCACACGCCAGCTCTTCGTCCGACTGTATCGGGTTCATAAATTGTCTAATTGGACAACGGCGATGCATTATGGAACAATACCGTGATGTACACGTCGGATGCGCATTTTAATTGGCCGACATCTGCTCAGCGCTTGGGCTGTTTTTTGCCTGCGTTCGCATGTGTGGAAGGGGGGGGAGGCGAAGGGTGGCCGATGGACCTCTCACAGCGTCGTTCGTTCAAAATAGGCATACGACTTTTTTTTTCTTTTTTTTTAATTCCCAGTTCTCGAACCCGACAAACGGGAAAAACTTCGTCATCATCGCCGCTATGTAGGTACCTCTATAATATATTATTATCTAATACATAATGATTTTTTTTGTAATATTCTACTTTTTTTGAAGGTATAGCTCGAAAAGGGTTGGGAATTTGAAAAAAACATAAAATATAAAAGTTTTAGATATTTTCATGAGCTTTAATTTGTTATAAAAAAATTTCCTTCCGATTCACCGTTTTCGAGTATAAGCAGAAAACCCAAAATGCGTATCTTTACTCCCCTCCCCCCTCCGGCTCTCCACCTAAGTGTCAGGACTTTTTGTATGTTAACACCCTAAGCCCCCTGAACAAGTTTCTGAAGTAATCGCTTAGTTACCTGCTCACGCACTCCACACCTCATTCCTTGACTGGACTAACTGTTGTAACACTCGCACGAAAAAATATATCGTCCGATCCTCGATTCCCTGCGAACGTCATTAAATCTATATAATAGCCAGTGTGCAGTCTGCTCTCGATATGTGTATATTAAATACGAGTTCAAAACGATACTCACTTGCAGTCTGCGTGCGAGGACACTTGCCAGAAGCGACGGATGTGATATATGTGTGTGGTGTTTAGTGTTACCGCCCCGCCCGGACGACTAATTTTACAGTCTGTATAATGTGTGCTTATAATACGCGCCCGGTGTGAGTATAGATTGGTCAGGGGTGGTGGTGGTGGAGGTGTCGTCGTTGTGGGGTGACTGGAAGGGTGGTCCGCGCAGCCCCGCATGTCACGATGATCTCGCTTCTGCTGCACGACGTTATATTATGACATTGTTTACAATATATTATTTAAATAGGCGTGTTTAGTAATTTTTTTTTAATTTAAATTTATATTTCTTTTTAATACAATGTATTATAGGCTTCCAAGGAATACGGGATACCCGCATAACAATACAACAATATACGTGTTTACAATTATATTATTACCAAGCGGTTTTTATTCACCTGTCCGGCAGCTAGTATATGGCAGAGTGATAGCCGAGAAAGGGTATAAAATGTGTAATCATTATTATTACTGCAAACGATATGAAATCCTATAGCTAATTGACTATATTATTTTACATTAGTATTGCATTGACGGTGTCTTGAAGGTATATATTATTATCCCAATACATTTATCAATTTTCAGGTGGCAAATAAAAAACTGTGTAAAAAGATCAATTGTTCAGTTATATCTTTTAACATTTATGACACTTTAAATTTGAGGCATCGTCAAATTATATAATTATTATCTACTCTTAGGTATAAAATATTCAAAAAAATTTAACCGACCGCCTCCTTATTATTTTAATTTAAAAAGTCGTAATTGTGGTGTAGACCGTTTTAACAATTTAACAATTAGCAGTATTTACTATACCAATGTAGTTAGTTTTATGCGTTGAAAGGGGGGGCGCCTGAAGTAAAATATTTTTCCTTGCAAAATTATACGGCCTGCGGAGTACTTACTTATATATTATTATAACCAGCAGCAGCAGCAGCTGTATATACCTTCGGACGATGTATAAATGCGGTCTGAAAAGGGATGCGGCGAGGGAATATTGCGAACGGCTTCAATTAATTCAATCCCCTCCCCTCCGAGCAAGTTGTTTCATATATTATTATTATAATGCCGCGTGTAGCTCCCTTGCCGCCGCCGCCACCGCCGCACTTTCCGCCGAAGCCTTCTTTGCCCTTCACTGCCGCCGCCGCCGTCGGGTAACGACACTGCTTTTAAACTAGCTCCATCTCCGGCCAATTAATTAATTAATTAAACAACGTTTGCCACCGCTGGCAGTCGCGATTGACTCCCGTAAACCATTATCGTATTATAATAATAATATGCTGCTGCAGTGGCGTATAAAATATATTTTGTATTTATAAATATATAGGTAGGTAGGTGGATTAAGTATTCGGTGTACTTAAGTCGATAGGTGCTAAATATAAAAAAAAGATTTACTTTTATCGGGTTAAATGTTTTATTTCGTGCTCCGCAGTGGACGAATTTTGTTTGGAATTTCGCTGTTGGGCTTTTGCATCGGTTTTTACTATTGTAATTTTTTTTTTTTAAATCTCACTGAATAATATATTATAATATTTGGATATCGCAAACATCAATCATCACTATTAT